TTTGGACATGCCCAGAACATGTGAAATAGGGAAGCAGGCTCTCGTTTGCACCGGTCACATGTGGGGTCAAACCCATCCTTGATTTTGCTCAGTCTAGTTTTAGACCAATGGAGACGGTGAACCACTTTGAACTGAATCACCACATGTTTAAACGTAGAAAAGCCAAATGGCTGCTCTCTGGGACTCTAGGTGTTAAGGCAAATAGATGACAAAGAAATTCTATTGATTATCTTATGTCTCATCTGTCTCATCTGCAATCCGTTGGCCAAGATCACTTCCCCATCGTTCCCTAAGTGATTGCAATGTGGACAGCCTAAAATTATCATCCAAAAGGGATGGCAGATACAAGCTTTATATAGAGGCTGACAGGGCTCATCAGTGTTACTGGTCCTGACTAGGATGCCTCCTAGGTGAGGTGTTTAGGACACGCCCTACAAAGAGGAAACCTGGGGCAGCCAAGATGTGTAATATCCACCCGGTGGGTCGGTGGGTGGGTGAATCTGATCCTTTATCGTTGTCTGATAGACACTCACTTTTTTACAACACCACCTGCTGATGGTGAGTGGAGTAGATCTAGCTTTTATAAACAAAATAATTCATAAAATAAACAATAAAAATGGATCACAATGAAAGTATTCTGTCAGATAAATGTGAAACACATGTTGTGAATATAAAGTCTCTCAGACGTCTCACTGAGGCTGTAAATGTTCTGCTTTTCTTTCTCGCAGGGACCTGGGTAAGGGTGGAACAGTGGAACACGCCTTTGATAAGCACTCCATCGACCTGGAACCAGGGAACCCGGTCAGAGCAGACTTGGCTTCATTACTGGTCGGCAACCGCACTGAGCCAGTGTAGGTTTTCTCTCTGGAGTGTTTACATTAATGAAAAAAAAGGAATAGTGCTTCTTCTAACAGGTGCTGTCTTGTGTTTTTTCCAGGCTTGTTCCCAGTATGTTTCCTAAGTACATCCGTGCCCCCAACGGAGCTGAAGCCAAGCCAGTCGGTCAGCTGCATGAAGGTTTACAGATTTTATATTATAATGAATACGTTAGTGAACAAGTATTTATTTATGAAGATTTCCACAATCAAATTATTACTATATAGTACTAATATATACGTATGATACAGCATAGTTGGAACAAGAAGCACAAAGTCGCTCGCCTAACAAGTAGAACAGAGAAGAATCCTTCAATTGTCCCACAAGGGGAAGTTTGGTGGTGGGAGCTGCACCGGAAGTAGATGCAGTCAAATGGGATACTGAGTGCATGTAAGAAAAAATATCTAGTGCATATGAAATAGTTAAAGAAAGGAACAACTGGAGCTGAAAAAATCTATAAGATAAGTGAGAATAATTGACACGAATAATAAAAAAAACCTGCAAAACAGGTTACAACATTAGATTTTTACGTTAAATTAAAAATAATAAGAAAAACGCACGGGAAGTATTAATATTATTGTCAATAAAATAAATTAAAAGGATGAAATATCCAAATAACTCCCAAACACAATGATCAGTGACAGCTTATTGTGAAAGATTTGAATGATTTTGTTCTTAATGTTCGTCCTGTCAGGGTCGCCAAAAGTGCAAAAACTGCAAATGTAAGTGTAGCAAACTCCAAATATAAAAAGGCAACAGCTGAAGATGAAATTATTGATATAGTGACATCATTTAAGTTTAAGAGATCAATGGATGATGATGGCTTTGATATGGATTTAGTCAAAGACATCACTGCATATAAGGTGAAAACATTTACCTGCAGTTTGTCATTAAAACGGTTTATTCCCTGGAAAGGTGACAATGTCAAAGGTTGTGCTGATATATAACATAAACATCTGCAGTCCTCTGAGATACTGGGACAAATATTTTGCAATAGTTTGCGTCACAAAAAACAATGTTTTGTATGCAACACTGTGGCTTTAGAGCCAACATAACCACAAAAAATGATTGAAATGTGTTTGTAGACTCCTGTCAGAAACAAAGAATTGTGCTTATCTTAGAGCTTAAAGAAGCTTTTGATACAGTTGATCAAAAACCCGTACTTAACTACACACATACGGGCTTGGAGGAGTCACATTAATGACATCTCTCCGCTTATTGTGTTGTGGAAGAATCTGAATGAAGTAGAAAATTCAATAAGCTGAAGACCAGGTTTAAACTATAACGCTATAATATAATAACAATGAATGTCACAAAAACATCTAAACGTGTCCTCATTTATATCATAACCATACTTTGTGCCTCTAACAAGGGGGCTGCTAATGACAAAAGAAATCTCCGTAGGCTCCGTTAAGCCATCACATTTCAAAACTCCCGCGACTGTCGCTGAAAACTGCGCCAAAAACAGTTTTACAGGAAATCGTCCCATCAAAATAAAAGCTTCTACAAACGAACAGGAAGTTGGTAGTAGAAAACAGCAATGAGTGCCAAAATAAGGTGCAAGGAAAGGCATTCAGGGTTAATTACATCATATATTCTATATTGTTCAATCATACTTACATGACATTCTGTGTGATATCTGGGGAAATGCTTATAAAACACAAATCCAGTATGCGCTCAACATGCATAAACAAACCATCAAATACACTTTTTATTAAAAGAAATCCTCCTGAACTTAAAGACTTGGTCGACCTTGGAGCTGCACAAATAATGTATAAAGCAGCAAACAAATATTTGTCCCACAACATGCAGGACGTCTAATGCCGACTCATCGTGACCTGAGCCAGTGGTTAGTAAGGACTAATGTCAGATATCACAGCATTACAGTCACAGGAGTGAGTATGTGGAACAAAGATCCTTTGATAAATCAGCACAACAGTTCAGTAAAAATCCCTCACAGAGTTGTAGGAAATCTACATGTGTGGGTCACAGGCTTTCCATCCATGCTCCAACTCAGAATCCCCCAAAGTGCATTTGGAGTATTTGGAGTATTTGGAGT